AAACCTAAGCCACTGCATGCTGATACTGCAGCAGGAGTACTTGATAGGCAGTGGTTGGACCCCTGTGCAACCCTCTATGGGAGCAACATGTGATAAAGCGTAAGTCAAAATTAATGATGAGTTGAAGAAGTGTAAATGGGGCCTTACACCAAAAAAGGTTTATGCTCATGTCTGACACAGGCTGAACCAGTGGGTTACATTCACACCAAGACACCAAACACTAAACCTAAAGAGGCCCCATGGCTATTCTCACCTTCATGCAGAACCAGACAGAAATGGGGAAGGTCAGTATGACGAACAGCAAAGACAAGATGGTCAGAAGCCACTCACAGATGCCCAGACCCGGAGACTTTACACCTAGGGAGAAATCCAACAGGACGGTGTTAGGAGAGGACTGTTCCCAAAATACTGACAGCCTGAGAAGTGCCTGCACAGATCAGCTTCAGTGTTGTCCTTTGCCTAGACCCAGTTTGTATGTGAACGCCTTGGCTGTCTCTGGAGCTGGGTTAAAGAATACTCCCTGTCCCAGGTGGCCAGGAGCTGCCAGGATGGACTGACAGATCTTGTCTCTGCTTTACTGGCAGAAATTGAGCCATGCTTCTCCACAGTGCCTTGACTAGAGAACAGCCTCTAGCTTGAAGACCTGTGGCTACCACACAGTGTTGAAGGGCTTGGAATGGGCAACTTGTTGGCTGAGCTGAGATCCCAAAAACTTATCTGCAAATATAAGCTAATGGCAAAGAGAAAGACTGTAAATAAGAAATAGCTTTCAACACACAGCCTGAAGTGCCCTTCCCTGTCAGAGTATCTTGGGTCCTTTTGGACAGGATTTTAATTGCATCTCAGCTCCCTAATGCAGTGGGACTGAGCCACTGATGCTGCTGAAATCTCTGGTGTGCTCTACAGCAGCCACACCAAGGTGATGGAGGCTGACTGAGTTGTTAGCCCTAGGTGAATGTTACCTTCTACAACTCCCCAAAGTGTCTGTGGGTCATCTTGATCTGGCTGCCCTTTGTTGTGCTCCTGCCTGAGGGAAAATCTGCAGGTATGGCATGAAAATAGATAGATTACTTCTGGGTGTACCTAGACCTGTTTTCTAGCAGTGAAGTTAGCATCCCTGCATCCCTACCATTTTGGGATCCCTTCTAGCCCTTCCATCTAGTCCTTCCCTGCCCCTTTGCCTTTGGAGCTCTCTGCCGAGCCACCGGGTCCTGAGAGAGGTTCAGATCCAAAGAACCTGTGCGATCACTACAGCTCCACAGCATCACTCACTAGCTGGGATTCCTGTAATTGAGGCAGAAAGAGGCAGTTGTGAAAAATTAGTTCCCAGAGAGACAGGAGCAAGTCTGAACCTTTGTGTCACTCTAGGGCAGCAGAGCTGCTGGCACGGAAGCAGACAAGTGATGCTGGCTTCTGTAATACACATCTTGTAATACAGCATCTGTGATGATGCTGGGTCCAAAGAGGCCCAGCCATCTTGCTAAAAGACTCAGGATGCTCCCTCCTGTCATGGCAGGCTGAGAATCTGCCTAACAAACACATGGCCTGGAGAGGAGTTGCTCTTAAAGGTTATCCGGAAGGAGAGCTACAAGTGTGCATGTCAAGCACAGTTCTTCCCTGCAGTGCAGTTCTTTGGGCTGTGAAGTGGCATTAAGGCTAACTCCAACCACCTAAAAAAGGACAAGCAAGAAAAGGAAGAGAATAGAACATGAACAGAACTGGGGAGCAGTGAGCTGAAGCGTGAAGGATGCTGTAGATGTAACTGCTTGTTGCAAAGTTCATTGCTTTGCTGTACAGCCTGGACTGAGTGCAGAATCTGGCTGGGAAGCTGGTTGGAGTCTCCCATATCCTGTCCTGAGGATAACTACATGACTGGGCAAGGTGGGTGTGATGACACCGTGCAGAGAGCAGAGTCATACCGTGACCCACACAGGGTCAAAAAGCCCATAGCTTTCCAGCCCCTTCCCTTCTATAAGCCATACCTTCCTCTTGCCGCTCGCTGTCCAGCAACGCCATTGCCTCCATTTCTTCATCAGATACCACATCGTCCACGTCCACCACTGTGGACGTGTGCACCCTACCGTCAGTCCCTGCGGTGCTCTTGATCTCCTTTGCTTTCTCTTGCTTTACATCTTCCCTTCCTTTGCTGGCTTCTCTGTTGCTCTCCCTCTTCTCTCGTTTGCTCTGTGTAGCTGGGGACCCTCTGTGTCTCCTGTGAGACTCCCTGGAGGAGCTCCGAGACCTCTTATCCATCCTCATCTGTGCCAAGGAGCGTGCAGCTGCCTGTGGGAGTAGGATGAAGTCGTGCTTGAATTTATTACTGCAGGCAGGAAAACCAGGCAGGGGAGGAGAGAAGGGGAGGTGTCAGATCCAGGAGGCTTGTTTCAAATTTATCACAGGCCTGTCAGACGTAATGGACAGTGAAGTGAGCAAGCTGTTTCCCAGCTGCTCTGCTCTCATTGCACCCTGCTGTGGAGATGGGAAGGAAGGTTAGACCTGGACAGAGTGGACTCCAGGAGGACTTTCTGTTTGTATCTTTCTGCCTTTGGAAACAAAATACAATCTAAAGCACTCAGATGATTTTTAGTAGATGGTTTCTGCAAAGCTGTTAAAAGCAACCTAAAAGTAACTGTCAGACATGTGGCTCTGAAGACCTCATATACTGAGAGTTACTCACATTGCCCAGAGCAATAAGTACCAGGGTGAAAAACCTTTACTAGTGAGACCAGTGGCTTACCTCAGGAGTGTTTGGAGGGGGTGTTGTGGAGGATGACTGGGTGAGTAGCATCCCACCCTGGTCTGCTCTCTAGAAACCCTTTGGCTGGCACAGTGGTGGGATGTTGGCTGCAAACTCCCTCTCTCTAGGGTCACCTCACATTTTAGTAGGGAGGGAAATTAGCTAGTCCCAGTTCAGTCATGAACTCTCCTGAATGGGTGCAAAGCATGGAGGCCATTGCAGGGTTAGAGCTGTTGAAGCATCTGTCTTCTAAATTGCCTAAAGAGTTTCTGCATAAAAGCCTCCATAGTTTTCCACAGTAGGAGCATGGCAGAGCAAACAGGAGCTTTTTCTTCTCATGCCACACAGCCCGTGGTTACATCTGCAGAAACCTCTGCAAGAAACATTTTTAAAGTGTTTTTAAGTCACTGACTGTATTAAAGAAAACAGCACCTGGCTAGAAATCATACTATAGCAAGAGAGGGCTGGAAGTGATGACTTCCCTGCCAATGGGGCAGTGCTGAGCTCAGGGATGTCAGTCTCTAGTGTGGAGGAGCAGCTGGAGGGAGCCAGGAAGCCAGCCAGGGAGGTGCTGCTCTTGTTTTTTCATGGATTCCTGTTTTATTGGAGGCTTGTGGCCCGCCTGGAGTCAGGATATTGCAGGCAGGGAGGGCAGGAGCACCAGCTGCCTGCTTTCTCTGCTCTGTCATGCTAGGTGCCTCGTCAGCAGGTCACCGGGGAAGCGATGGATGGAGAGAGCAACTGGCAGAAAAGTTGGACGGAAATGGGGCATAATTAATAAATTCATACAGTATATTTGCGTGGAAATGCTCCAGAGATCTATTTCACTTTGTGTTAATCACTGGACCAGCATGGGGCAGGGGGGTGATGGTCTCCACCTGCTGAAAGGGCAGGTAACATTTTAAGCAGCAGCAGTAAATGGAAGCTCAGGTCTAGTTTTAGCTGATAAGCACGAACTCTGGCTGATTTCTTGTCAAATGCACCACGGAATATTTAACATCTACAGACCTGCAGCTTTCTGGTCTTGTCTGATGTTTAATTAGACCAGTGGGTGCCAACTCCTGCATCTCCCTGCGATGTTTTCGGCCCCCACCTTGGGATGGGGGAGATGATTTGAGAGCGTGTGCTGATGGTTTTTCAACCTTTGCAGTCCCCAAATCCGCAGGCTCAGCCCCTCTTGTCATGTGGAAACATCCCCACGTGGAAATCAACCCCACTGTTGAGTGGGTTTCTCAAATGACTGCAAACCTTTAGAAAATGGCCATTGCCATCCAGTTTGCCAGGCTTTGGCCTTGGGAAAGCCACTCAGCACCTCCACTGCGGATTTTCCCCTCTCAAATGGGACTGAAAAATACAAGGCTGCTCTTAATAACGTTGGTATTAGGGTTTAAACATTGTTGCCTTAAAGAAATTGGTTCTTTTCTGTCCACGACTCTTCCGCAATGTGCTAACTTTTCCTGTTGGAAGGGGTGCGCACCTAGCATTTTTAGTCGGGGGAAGGGCCGGGGCAACACCTCCGTGCAGGCCCCCGGGGGTGGGGGACAGGCTGCCTCCCCGGTACGGCGGCGACACGCCCGCCCGCCCCGGGGCTGAGGGGAACCATGGCCGCGGCGGCTGCAATGAGGGGATGGGCCGGGGGGGGGGGGGGGGGGGGGGGGGGTAGCGCCCCGCCCTCGCGCCGCGGAAGGGCGGGAAAGGCAGCGCGCAGGCGCAGTGGTGGGAGGCGGGGGCGTCTCGTGATCGAGGCGGCGCGATGGCGCGGTGGGTGCTGCGGCCATTGGGGGCTGTCAGTGAGCACCCGGGCGGCCCCCGGGGTCGGGGTTAGGGGCGCGGGGGGCTCTGAGGGAGCAGGGACACGCTGGGGGAGGCGTGTATGTGTGCGTGGGGATCCCTCAGGCAGCAGTTGAGGCGCGCAGGGGTCTCTGTGGAAGGGCGAGGTGGTAGAGGGCGATCCCTGGGGCGGGGGTTTAGGGGCACGCAAAGCTCGAGGGGTGCCGCTCGCGTAGGGGCCGCGATCCCATGGGGACAGGCAGCGAATGCCGGAGGAGCCGTGATCTCAGCTGAGACAGAGGGGGCAAAGGTGGCACCTCCAGGGGGGCAGGCAACAAAATACAGGGGTTGGTAGGTAGGGGCTGTCAGGGAACCTGGCTTGCTGCCCTCTCCCCCCACCAGCTTTCAGCTGCTAAGTGGTAAAAAGTCTTTTGCCTGTGTTTGGGCAGCTGTGGCACGAATTGTCTTCTGCTCGCTTTTGTTTTGCCTTTAGGGCAGACATGTCAAAGCAAGCACAGCTTATGGAGTTGCTGAAGAAGGAGGTGAGATCGCTGCTGATGGCTGCTAAAGAGGGCTTGACCCCAGCACAACTGGAGGAGGAGTACGTGACCATGATTGGCAAACCTCTCCCTTTATATGACCTGGGCTTCCAATCCACCTTGGAGCTGGTGGCAGCTATGCCTGAAGTTGTCAGAATCTGTCCTTATGAGAAAGACATTTTTATCCTCAAAGGTAAGGTTTTGTTTCCTTATGGGTGGAGGAGTTGTTTGGAACCACGTACCGGTATGAAGGGATGCTTCAAAACAGGGATGTGCAGGATGACTTCCCAGAGCTGTAGGTCTCAGACCTCTGTTATTCTTCTTCTCATATAGCTTTGTTTAATTTATTGTCTTTGATGTTTCTTCCTGTATTTAGATCTGCCTTTTAATGCTTTTTTGCTCTTTCCTTTTGAAGAATCACATAGGCTTCTAGTTGGTTTTGTGCATTTTGTCTTCTGCACTTAGTTTAGAAACTGCAGGCACATTTCTAATGGCTACACTACAACTGGTAAGCATCATTTTGCCTGTAAATGCAGACTACAGCATGAGCCAGAACCAGCGATGGGGCCTCTCAGGAGAAGCTGTTAATGTTTCCCTACCTGACCCCATGGGAAGTTATCAAAGGACCATTTTAATTTTCCTTTTCTTTGGGGAAGAGCTGTGGAAACAAATGGTAGGTGCAAAGAGTTGATTGGGAAGGGTAAAATGATATGTTTTTAAAGAGTGCTACAGTAAGACAAGAAAAAAAGTTGTTTAAAAGCATGAAAAAGACCTGGGCTTCTCTCCAGGGAGACCTTGCCTGGGCAGGTGGGTGCTCTGTGGTGGGGGTTTACTGTGATTCTGGCTGAGGGGAGCACTGAGCTGTTTAGTGTTTTCCCAACAAAACACAGCAGCTGGGTTTCCTGTTCGGACCCCATATTCAAGAATTTGACCTGCCTTCCTACCAGGATCTGGATTTTTAGAGATGAGGGCGCAGATTGGTTGTTGGCTGTTAAAAATGGTTCAGTCCAGTTTGCGATGGGAGAGGAAAAGTGTTTGCCCTGCTGAAAATCAGACACGATTTAGCGTGATTGCTTTGGAAGGAGACACCTGCTTCTGAAAAGGGTGAGGAGAAGATGAAAGGAAGGAAAGAAGGGGAGCTTTGCCTGTCTAGAGCTTTTAAGGGTTTGCTGTTTTGATAGTCTAATAGTTTATGTCTTTCTGTTGTAGCCATTGCAGATGAGACCACCAAGGGGATTGCCAAACTGGTTGCCAGACAGAAGAGAAATGCTAGGGCAGGGAAGAGTGCTGCTGCCAAGGCAGGTGCTGCTTCTCCCTCTAAGAATCCCCAGGGTTTCCGTCGGAGCAGGGCTCCTGTCCTGCCAGCGACAGTGAAAGCTGAGCTGCAGGATCTACTGAGTTCCTCGCCACTTCTGCTCTTGGACTTTGATAAGGCCTTCTTCAGACGCTTTGGCCGGGCATTCCAGTATACGCAATATGGATTTTTCTCCATGTTTGAAGTCCTCAGAAGCGTGTCTGATATCATCACGGTTGAGCAGACAAGAGCAGGTTCCTTGCTGACCCTGAAGAAGTACATGGCGAGTGAGATAGAGAAGGAAGAGGTGCCGCAGGGCGAGGCGCAGGAAGGAGTGCTGCAAGGTGAGGTTGTGTGTTACTTAACTAAAAGCTCATAGCTCTCACAAGTGCTGTGGCCAGGCAGCAGTGTTTCAAGTGGATGTCACTGCGTTTCCAGTTGCTGTAGCAGTCCCAGTTCCCCCAGGTTTTAGCACAGAAGGGCTGTGGGGTGCTGCAGAAGCAGCTGTCACAAGGGAAGTTGTCTTGGTAGCAGAGATCTTAACTGGAAGTTTTCTGCAGGTTTCCATCTGGTTTTCGTGTGAGGTGAAAGAAAGGATGTTTAGCCCATTCAGAGTAGGGACTTTCTGAATGTGTATGTAGGGCTGGAATTTCTAGTCATTCAAGGCAATAGGTAACAAAACTAGAAGGATCTCCTGAACATGTGCTCTGCAGGCTGGTAAAGTATTTCAGATGGGCTTTTTGGGACTGAAGGTTTAGCACTAGTCTGAAAGTTGCACTGCAGTGTTCCACAGAAGAAAACAGAGGAGACTGGAGATGACCACAGTGTTCCCATAAGAGCTATGAGAGAAGGTAGAAGATCACATACCGTTCCTACCAAACTTCTGACTTCTGGAGAAAATACCTTTTAGCATCGTTCTAGCTAATGATTTAACCCTTAGCATGTTTACAAGAGCCAAGTGGGTTTGGTTTTGTTTTAATTTATTAATACAGTGAAGGATGCCTCTCCAGTGAATCCTCATGACTGTGGTGGCTGTGAATGCCACAAGAGATGAGGAATACAGCAGCACCAGTGCTTTCGGACTTTAATTTTCAGATGTCTTTTCATTCTGCTTCGTATGTAACACTGCATCAGTCCAGCAAAGAATAACAGCCAAATTATCATCTTTGCAGCACCACCTGCAGTTGAGATGCCTCCATTGGAACCCTGCTATGAGAAAGATTGCTTCCACCTGACAGAGGAAGAGAAGGCAGAGCCAGTGGAAACACAAGCAGTAAATTTGGGTGGTGGCCTCAAACAAGTAAGTGGTTGGACAAGTGATCTGTAGTTTTTTCATGTCTTAATCCAGGAGGTGATACTCTTTTTACTGCTTTTGTTTCTGTTGAGTTTGCATTGTTGATGTGCTGCTGCTTCCAAAAATTTTTGTATCTGTTTTACATGAGTCCGGAGCTGACTAGACTCATACTGACCTGGTACTCAGCTTTATATGCCATCCAAACCAGATCTTTTCCTTGTCTCTTTCTGGTCTTGAGATCTGTGTTGCAGATCAGGTAAGCCTGGTCTTGCTCCCTGATAATAGTGGTGATACTTCTTCGTGTACTTAATTGTAATTGGACTTTAATAACTTTGTTCCAAGACTAGCTGTGTGGAATTTGTCCTGCTGCAGTAGGCAGGGCTTAACTGTCAAGCAGCTATGTGACAGAGCTGGGGAATGGTTCTCAGAGATCTTGATTTCTATAGTCTCAACTCTGCTATTTGGTTGGACTTCGAAAATTGTATTTATTTTTTTGTTACTGTTTAGCAATGTATTTTTAGAAGGGGATGGAGAAGAACAGTACAGAGGCTCTGAACTGCCAAACCTGATTGGGAGAATGTTTATGTCCCCTCTGTTTTTTCATTTAGAGCATGTTTAGGCCTTATCCTTCTGAGGAAGATCGTCCTACAGAGAGAGTTATTTCCTCTGCCAAGCTCGTCTTGTGGCTGTATGCATCTGTACGGTTGGAATGCGTAGGCAGGGGAAGTGCCCCAGGAGTTCTTCCTGACTTTGGTGTTTTGGGTAATACTGAACAGGGAAGCCCAGGACTATGAGTTGGACTTTGTGCGGCACTTCATAAAACATACACTTTAGAGATTTTTGGCAGGCTCTTCTGATTCTTTAAAGAAATTTTGGTTTGGTGTGATGAAGTTCACAGGGAATTCTCCTAGATGAAAGGAAGTCTGCTTGTGGGAAGGGTAAAAAATTGGGAGATGTGGTCCAGATAGCCCCAGATTTTTGTTCTTATGCGTTGCAAAGGGAACCTGTTTAAAGATCCTAGCAGGATGTGTTTTGGAAGATGTTTGTACAATTAGTATTTGTTACCAAGTTTGCCATTTTGTTTTAAAAATGCCCTTAGGGGGAGGAAAGCAGGTTGAAATGCATGCATTTGGGTATGTAATGAACTCTCATTCATCATGATGCTGCAAGGTAGAAGGGAAGGATGCGACCTGATCTCCGCCCTGCTGCAAGGTATCCAGTTGCAAGAGACTTAACAGTGGAAGTGTTGTAAGGGACAAATGAGGGACAAGGGCCAAGTCAATCTGCTTTTTCTTGCTGCTCTCAGCAGAAGAGGTGTCATCCACACCACTCTTAGCAGCTGCCATTCTGGCTTAGGGCAAGGAGTTAGCCAGTCTTGCAAGCCATATCTCTTGTAAGCCTAGTTTTAGTGTGTTTTGTTGGGTTATGGTTTTATAATTCTGTTTTTTTGTGAATGTGTTTTTAAGTACACATCTTCTACATATCTCAAAGAATGTTTGTTGTCACTACTAATGTGTGAGCTAGTTTATAAAGATCATATGTGCTCTTAACTGTCTGATGTGAAGATCATACCTGGAGCAAAACTGTCGCTTAGAAATGCCACTATTCACAGGCACATCTTAGGAGAAGCCCATGAAATGCAAGGATTTTTTAGAGATGATGCTGCTGCTCAAGCAAGAATTCCCCAGGTTGCCCTTTAACTCAAAAATGTTAACTCACTGTTTAACTCAAATATTTTAGTCAAAATTTTTAACTCGTAAAAATTCAAGGGCGTTAGCCCTTGCTCAGTTTGCAGAAGGAGAGACTCTTATCTGCTTCTTTAAAAAACAGTTAAAAGAGCCAGTATTGCAAAAAACCACATTGTTCGCAGTTGAATTTAGCCATGTAAGCAGTGGGGTGTGTGCTGGAAGATAAATTTCCCATACATTGCCTGATGTGTAACGCAGTGGTAACTTGTAGCATATTCACAATGCATAAAATTGGAATAATTTTGACTTCTGATCATTGGAGGAGTGCTGCCTGTTGGCATAAAAGAAAGCTCTTGAGTCAGTGAAAGCAGCTGATGGCCGATTAAAGTTCCCCTCCACAGTAGTTCAAGTGAAATAATGTTTTCAGCAGTTAAAGAATAACACAAAATTGTAAGTTGTGCTAACAACTCACTCGTGTACAAATTTTTCTTGAATGAGAAAACAGAATTTTTAGGTTTTGTTTGTTTTTATCCTTGGGAAATAGCTCTAGTGTGAAAGTGTGATGTGTTTGTGCCTTCTGTCAATTTTGAATCATTTTCAGGTAGAGTTTTTCTGGTTGTCATGTACTCTTTCATGGTCACAGAACATAGAAAGAGCATCTTTTGGCTAAAATCCAATAAACAGCTGGGTTGTGTTTAGTTTGGGTTTTTTTGTTGTGGGCTTTTGTTTTGTTTGCTTTGGTAGCAATAGCCATTTAATACTTTGTCTAAACATGTGACATGACTTCAATTCCTCTCCTTTATTCCTTGCAGGAATATGAGCAAGGTATTTTTGTTGTACCCCTCTTTACACTGCAGGGAAGAGAGTGTGAAAATGAATGCTTCTGTCACAGGGAAAGTTTTAATCTGAGTTTGTACAACTTGTTGGAATTCTCTGATATTCAGTAATTTACAGGTCCCCAGGAAAACAGAACTATATTTTTACCTTAATGGAAAGGCCAGTTATGTGTGTTCAGTGCATGATGAGACATCTGAGTGCCACCTTCCTCTTCTCCCTTTGTAGCTTCAAGATTTGGAGCAGTTCCTACTAGAGAAGATGATAATGACTCCAGAAATCCCCCCAGATGCTGTTCAGGACAGAAGCCTTTGCAGTTTACCACCACTGGGGAGAAGGTACTTGGTGGGAGTCTTTGTGGAGTTCGTTGTCTCTCCAAGCCAGTTCTATATCCACGTCTGCAGCAAGGAAACGTCTGATAAACTGCTGGATATGATGATTGAGATGAGGTGCGATCATGCTGTGCAGTTTTAGTACTACTACCTGTTGTGTGTGTGTGTTTGTGCTGAGGGAACAGGGCGCCCAGCTGTTAGTTATGGTCACTGGTAGCTTGATCACTTGATACAGAGGTGCCAGTGCCATACTGAAATGCATACTCATAATGGTTACCCATTCCTTTTAACTAGCAAGCAGTAAGTATGGCTTAATAGCAACTCGTGGTAGTTTGGCTGTGTCCTAGACAGTCCTAAACTTTAAAAGCCTGGAAAGATTGTGGAAAGAAACTTTAGGCTTTTACTTCCATCTCCCAACACTTAAAAAAAAGCAACAGGTCATAGGCCTTTGTCATATCTGTATTTGAAAGCAAAACCCCATCAGTGGCTTTGTGTCAGTTATATTATGCATTTAGGATCCTGTTGCACCACGACAGTGCTACAGTTGCTGTTAATTGTGTACCAGAGTATATGCTTGATGTCCGTGGGGCACATGTAATTGTGATTACAGACCCTGCAGTCAGATACTCTGTATGTGATCCAGTACTCCAGAACCTGGATCATAAGCACTGATATGTCAAGGTAATGTTAAAAATTAATTACTAGAATGACTATATTTAGCCTCTGATTAATCCCCATTAATTAAATATTTGTTGGACCCCAAGAATATCATTCAAATGGTAAAAGTTTGGGTTTGCATTTTTTATTGTCATTTCGGTTTAAGTGTAGCAGAACAGAGGTATAAAGCATCTACTAAACCAGCTCCTGAAAATTCATGTCATGGGGACTTTGAGGAATCAGGGTTCTTCTGAAGCCCTGTATATTTCTCTTTGCTCATCTCCTGCATTCTACCAAGCACGGTTTTTCATTATGATCTTTTGCAGACACTGTTACTCAAATAAAATTGTTTCTGATCGTTATATTATGCCTGAGTCTTCAGTACAGCCTGGACAGCTTTGCTGTGTAATGTCTGGAAAATGGTGGTACCGTGTTATCATCCACCGTGTGATCAATGACCAAGAAGTAGAGGTGTTCTACACAGATTATGGAAACCTCGAAATTGTCCGGAAGTATTGGCTGAGATTCCTCAAGTAAGTAAATTCCACATGGATGACAGAATCACAGAGTGGTTGAGCTTGGAAGAGACCTCTGGAGGTCATCCTGCCCAACCTTCTTGCTCAAACAGGGGGCCATCTAGAGCAGGCTGCCCTGGACCATGTCCAGATGACTTCTGAATGTCTCCAAGGATGTAGAACCTGGGACCTCTCTGGGCATCTTGTTCCAGTGCTTGGTCACCCTTATGGTAAAAATGCTGCTTTCCAGCCAGTTGGCCCCCAAGATGTACTGATGCATGGTGGTGCTCCTCCCCGAGTACAGGACTTGGTTGAACTTCAGTAGGTCTCTGCCCATTTCTCTGTTCTGTCGAGGTCCTTCTGAATGGCAGCATGACCCTCTGGTGTATCAGCCACTCCCAGTTTTGTATCGTCAGCAGGCTTGCTGAAGGTAATCTCTCCCTCATCATCCAGGTTGTTAATGAAGATGTTGAACAATATTGGTCCTAATATTGACCCCTGGAGTATACTGCTAGTTCCTGACCTCCAACTAGATTTTGTGCCACTGATCACCACTCTCTGAGCCTGGCCCTTCAGCCAGTTCTCAGTCTACCTCGCTGTCTGCTCATCCAGCCCAAACTTCATTAGCTTCTCTGTGAGGATCTTGCAGGACACAGTGTTAAAAGCCTGACTGAAGTCAAGGTAAACAGTACCCACTGCTCTCCTGTCACCTACCAGGCCAGTCATTTCACTATAGAAGGTTGTCAAGTTGGTCTGTCAAGTTGGTGAATCTATGCTGACTATTCCCAGTCATTTTTTTGTCCTTCATTTGCCTGGAAATGGTTCCCAGGGTTAGTTGTTCCACTGCCTTCCCAGGATCGAGGTGAGGCCGACTGGCCTGTCTTTCTTCAGAAAGACATTCCAGCATGCATATTTCCTAGAAAGGATCTGGGTTTTTTTTTCCATTAATGGTGCCTTGCAGGCACTTACTTGCTTACATGCTCATGCTTGAGGTGACAAGACCCATTTGTTGACCACTCCGGGCCATTTGTACATCAACCCTGCTCATCACTCTGTCGTGGTGACTTTGGACTAAATAGTTCTCTGTTTCTGCCTTCATCCCTTGGTCTTTTCCCTTGCTGCTTTCTGTCACTTCGGGGTAAGCTCCCTAATCCTCCTTCCTGGGCTCAGTGAATGGTTGTGAACATCCTCCTAAATAGACACCACTCCAGGTGGGATGCATCAGCAGTGTCAGAAGTAGGTGTTCTCCTCTGCAATTCAGTATCCTTTCCATTTTTGCTTCTTCCCTCTCATTTGCCTCTATTCATGCCTGGCTATTGGCTGTCTTTGGTTCAAAGGTCGTTGCGTTCTGTCCATAACTTTGTAATCATGAGGGATTTTGATGGGAGGATTCTTGCGCAAGAGAAGCCATAAGGAACCAGTTGTTATTGCTATTTCTGCTGTCCCCATTCTCTGGGTATGGAGTGTTTTCCAAAGCTGCTGTTGGGTTTTATTCATAAGTGCAAAATCCAATATGTGCCTCTATTCCTAAGCTGATTTTAAAACCCAGAGAGGAGGGAATTCTGCTCTTCTGCCTGGTTTTGCTCCGTTTATTGCTGTAAAGGTGATGGCTTTGTTTTGTATTGTAGGTGGTCCTACTTGAAGCTCCCTGCTCAGGCCATCCCATGCTCCTTGGCACGGGTAAAACCCGTGGAGGTATGTGTTCATATGCAGTTTTGTTTATTGACATATGTATGAGAGCTACCGAGTGAAGGTTGTCTTTTTCTCCTGATAAGGGCAAACATTTGGATTAATTCAGGTCCTGTTGATGTTTATGGCAGAATTGCCGCTATTATGTTCAGCAGAGTATCAGCGTATGTTTGATCACCCTTCTGCTGTCTGTTTTCTTTATGATCAGATTGGTTTTTGCCTATATTGCTGCAGAAACAGGTAGCTACTGTCAAGCAAATGAGCAAACTTGTTCCTTCCCCTGCCAGTAGTTTTCCGGGATCTTTCTGAAGCCTTAGTAGCTCCAGCACTCTCTGTTTTAAAAATTTCTTCTGCGACTGCTTTAAGTGAGTTGGTTTCATACAATCAGCACAGCCAAAGAATTACAGAGGTCATAAGAAAGTTCCTCTGTGCTGGGAAACCTCTTGGTCAAGAAGCCTGAGAAATACAATCTGAAGGAAAGCATGTCAGCAGAGTTGCTGCTTCTGTGTTTTAAAGACATTATTTTTAAAAAGTTATTTCTTCCGTTTTTTGAGGCTTACAGAATCATAGTTATCATTGAGGTGAGGCTTAGCAGCTTCTTAAAAACTTTTGACACTTTTAACGGCTATAATCACATGATTCTAGGAATAAAAACAGAAAACCCCAAACAACTGTATTTTAGGCAATTGTGGTAAAATCACTGGTGAGTGCCATTGAACTGTGTTTGGAAATAGGTATTTAGGGTGAAAGGGCATTCCCAGTGTAACCAGCCTTGCGGGCTTTGGGGTAGTTTGATTTGGTTCAGTGCTGGGAAGCCCGTCTGCCTGACTTTCCTGTATTTGTCCCTAGCCTGACCTAGCTTAATTGCCTTTCTGACAAGTGCCCACAAGGGAAGGCCTCAGGCAGTAGACATTGGTCTGTTTATAGTACCTTTACATTCTTGTTTCTTCTTCAGGGCACATGGTCCAATGCAGCAACTCTCCTATTCAAGAAGCTGTGTGGCTCCAAGCTACTTGTGGGCATCGTGGATGAATATGTGAACGGCATTTTGCATCTCTTTCTGTGCGACACATCCACCAAGGAGGATGTCTACTTCCACTGTGTCTTGAGGGATGGGGGATGTGCTGATGTCTGCACAGAGAACGTTCCTTCCCAGGTCAGGAGGGAGACGTGTGCTGCTGAAAGGAAAGGCAGGGAAAGGACCATTTGGGTGCCTGTAATTAGAAGATCTCGAGCTCAAAGCAAGTAGTTTTGTGAAGAGCAAAACTGCTATTCCCTGCTGTCCTGTAACGTATCATTTTGTGACCACGTCCCATGGTGTCTAGCTGTCTGGTGAGAGCTTACACCATCAGATTCCACCTTAACCAAAAAGCAACAGAGACGTTCTGGTTTTGTAGAACAAATTATTTTCATGCTGTCTTCTAACAGTGGATTAGAAGATTCTGATTCTATTTTTTTGGATGTTGATTAGCATGTTAGAATTGCAGATTCATCTGAAGCTGATGCACATCTTGTATAAATAATATGGAAAAGTAAAATAGCTATAGATGTTCTCGGCATAAGACCAGACTGAGATGGAATTGAGAGGTTGTTAAGAATTTAGGTACTTGACTCTGTGTTGTTAATTCCAGCAAGCTTTCCTAGTCGTAATTTAAGAGGCCCCTGATTCATCCAAACAATTAATGAGAGCAAGTTGATTAAGATTTCTAGTGTCTCACAGTAGTTTTATATAGTGGCAAGGGCAATTGAGTGAGGAACAAGATAGTTAAATAAATTGTTGTGGCCTCCTCTGCGCTAGACATTGAAGATTGGTTATGCCATTAACAAACTGAATTAAGAAAATGATGTTGTTTCAAAAAGACTTTTACTTTGCCAGTGAAATGTACAGTGTTGGACAGCGTAACCATGGTAGATTGCACGTTGTGCCTTGGACAGACATCCGGGTTGTAAGCCAGTGCAGAGAGCATTTATGATTTAGGCCCATCTGTGTCATTGTCTGAACGTCTCAGCTTAGTTTCAGTAAGAGCTGTGTGGATATGAAAACTCTTAAAGAAGTACTTCCACAATTTTATGTCTCATCAGAAAGTCAGGTTTTATAACCCAGAGTGCTTGTATCTGTTGGGTTATTCAGTAGATGCAGAATGCTTGTTTTGGCAGGATTGGGTCCTAAGATGGTATTTTTGCATGTGTATGTCCAATTTGGCAGGGAGGAGGGTATTGCTGCGTAATTTTGTTGCTGGAAGGAGGGGAGTTGATTTTTGTAGTAAGATAGCTCCAAATTCTTGCAGAAACTAACTTGTGGGTGGTGTACCTCTTCATAAAACCTATTAGAAATTTGCTGAATCCTTTTTATTCTTGGTGGTAGTTACAACGTGGTCTTCTTGACTATACTGGGTGGGGTTTTTTTTGTTCCTAGGGATTCAAGGAACTGAATCCTTCAGCCTTATATATTCAGCCCTATGGAAAGCAGGAGAATGCTGAACTGGTGGAGCCAGACCTTCACTTACAGCAGGAATCTCTAGGTGCAGATAGTGAAACAGCAACCTCAAAGCTGGATGGGGATGAGCTGTGTGACCAGGTGGGAGTTTGCCTGTGATGTAGCTATCGTTCAGTGAAATCGGCTCCCGGGGTCTGTAGACATGTGTTGGTTTAGTCCATGCAGTTTTTTGTGCTGCTGGTTTTTCGCTTGTATAAAAGCAAGCAGAACCATAATAAAAACAGTTCCACATGGACCATAAATACATCTCTAGCTGCTTGTCCTCTGATCCCTTTGCAGACTTCAGGGAGTCTCTGTGCTCAGTGATTTCTCTCACCTCCCCTATGCACCATAATTTTTCAGTTAGAGCGAGAATGGGCTCAGAGAACTCAGACCAGCACCAGATCCTTGAGGAGATCAGTTTGATTTGGCATTTTCATGTTTTGCACCCCGGGAGCCAAGAAGTGGTATGCTTTCCTCACGCATCTCTGGGGTTTAGTAAATGATGTGTAATAACTCGAGGTATCATTTATATGTGGGAAAAGACCGGAACTAGTGGTGTGTTATTTGCATGAAGGATCTTGCTCTTTCTAAACTTAGCTGAAAGGAAGTGATTCGCAATCCTGGTTGTTTCAGGGGGTAAGGTTATATACAACTACAATTTAATAAAAAGGTAACTCTAAAGGTGAATGATATCCAGATCTGGATACTGCTTTACATCTTTGATTTCAGAGCATGTTAAAAAGAGGAGCCCTTTGCTATTTAAGAGATGGAGAAACTGATAGACAGAGGGGTTAAGCAGGGAATAAAGCCCAGGTCTTGAATGCAATCTAGTGTACCATTAGAAACACCAGGAACACTTTACAGGTGACTCTTTACTTTTCTGTGTTATCTAAGTTGTAGTATTTTCATGACACATTTTACTACAGGGGCCAAAGCACCTTTCAAATAAATGTCAGCTGTTGAAGTGTTCAGCAGCGGGCCTTCTCCAGGGCTGTTTTTCTGACATTTCTGTGAAATAAAGAGTAAAAGCTAGTGTAATGTTAGTAACTTATAAAACAGTCATTTTACCTAGGTTTTGGTTTAGCCAGCTGTGTTTCTGTGCTAAAGAAACTTTATATAAGCTGTATATCTTGGATATTAATGGCCATGCACTGTCGATAAATCATCTGAAACGAAGGACACAAACCAGCATCTTAATATATGTATTTGGAAGGAAATAATATGACAAAGGCTGCAAATGTGAATGTATTGTGATTTTTTTTTTTTTTTTTTTTAATGGGAAGATCTGGAGAGTACCCTGACTAGTTAACTGTAGCAAGATCATTTGTGTAAATGTTAGATATAGCTGGTGATTTGGAGACTAGAGGAATGTAAATGCATTCAGGTTTTGTCATGTCTGATTTCAAGGGTCTTATTAGAATCCTTCTTCAGAAACTGCAGTCCCCTAGATCTCTCTTTGAGTAAGACTTTAAACATTTCCTTCTCTGCTGTTCTGTTTAGCTGTCCAAAATGTTTCCTTCTCTTCCTTGGTGCATCACTAACATTGGTCACCAATGACAGCTATAAAACAGCTCAAAATGTTTTGAACTGGAATGAAAAGTGTCTAATATGACACTTTTTACTGCCTAGCTAGCGTTTTCTGGTAACTCCTCTTAAGCAGTGGGGAACTTCCTTTGCATTGTCCAATCTTAGATTTGCCTTGTCATGATTAATAGCTTTTTTTCCCTCCTCCCTCCTTAAGTGCAAAATGGCTGGACACTGTAGTATCAGCTCTGCTATGTTAGGACACTTCTCCATGGTAAAAATTCTCAGAAGACAGCGTGCAGTAACCAGAAAACATTGCTTGAATGAAACTACTTTCAGACTGATAAGTTTTACCGTGGAGGAAAGAAGTTAAAGTGATGGTTCACATTATTTCCTGTCCTTCCACGTTCTTTCTGTCCTTTCCAAGTAGCCTGAACTTCTCCAGATAGAAATGTTAAAACTTCTGAGCAGAAGAGAATAGCTCCTTTGTATTTCTCTCGCAGTTAACCTCTGAGTGGAATCATCTGATTGCTCTGTAATTTGCTTTGGTTCATCCTGCTTTCTTCTGCCCACACTCACTGCAACTTTTCTTGCTTCATCCATCTCCTCAACAGGAACACCTGCCTGCTAAGAAGGAGACATGGGATGATGCGTGGCCACTCTTGGATGAAGTGAGTGTCCCAAGTACAACAGACCAAGGCCCTGAACTCGTGCAGGAGAATACAAATGAAACTCCTGCAGAGCTTATGGCAGTGGCTAAGTGTTCTGGTTCGGGAAACGACAACGCTGAGGTAGGGATGTTTTTCTCCTCAATTGCTGTTGAGAGGTGGTTCTTGTTTTTAAATTATTTAAATAACCCTTTGATTGCTTTGACATGTATTTTGTTTAAAAGCAACTGGCAGTTAGCATGGGCTCAGAGCTCTGTGTTTTCCTCATTGCTGCTGTTTCTGGTGTTGTTGACGATCCTCTAGTGCTCCACTGGCAGGTCAAGGTATTGTTTGAAACAAGATTGACCATTTCAGGACTTTATAGATCAAACCTGGCTCTTCTTCACTACACTCCTTTCCCCTCTGTTCACAGTCTTCAGGGTTACTGGGAGTTGCTGTGGGGCTTTTCTAGTTCACTTGGGCCTCTTCCTGAGTTAGGAGGGTGGGTTTGGGAGTGCTATGTTTTGGGCGCCCTGCTCTGAGGCATTGTGTGGCACTGGTGTCTCAGTTTGCTCCTTAAATAGTGGTTAATGATGATTCTAACAGGGCCTGCAGTCTGACCTCCTGCAAACGCTCTGCTCTGGGTTCAGCAGGGAGCCAGCTTCACTCAGGGTTTGTTGAGCCACAGAAGGCATTGCAGAGCTGGAAATGGGAGTGTACCTCCAAGGTTTTGGATAACCACAGTTCCTTATACATCTAGAGGTTGATAGTGGCTGAGATAAAACTCATTTTAGAAGGATGAGGGGGGGAAGTTGGTTTTCAGATAGTCTAGAGCAGAGCTGGAAGAATCGATGTCTTGGTGGGATGTTACCTGAAAGGGATGGAGAGAAAGCAAGCTGGGAAAAGGGACCCTGAGAGAGTGAGAGAAGAGGAAAGCTTTGGGTAGCAGGTGCAGGGATAAAGTACAATGAGATGAGATGAGCTGGAGGCAGGCGGGTAGATAGCAATAGGGTCCTTGTGAGCCAACTGAAGCACTCCCCTGGGGGTATTAAGCAGTGTGAATTTTGAAGCATAGGAATTTCCTGACTGTATCAGAGAAGTCCTGAGCATGTTTCCTGGCCCTGGCTGGGATCTCTGTTACAGCTTTTAGAAGAAGCGACAAGAATTTCTACTGAGGAAGTCGTGGGATGAAAAAATAATCCTTCCCATAGACATTAGGGAGTTAAAAATGTACCGGTCAGCTAGTTATGAGCACACACAGGAGGATTTCCTTCCTCTGATTCCTGCTGATCTCTTGGCCTCAGGATTTTGTGGCACTTGCAGCATCACCAAGTGATTTTTTTTTTTTCCCTCCTTTCCAGTTTTCACTGCTCATGTTTTCCTTTTCAGTGGTGGTATTCTTATGTGAATCAGGAGGAAGAGTAGATACTGCCTTATTTCTTGTCCCTCATAGCACTCTCTAGGTTATCCTGTCTAGTTTGCCTCTTCTGTAAACTGAACAACCTCCTATTTTTTAATTATTTTCCTCCTAGCTTTTTCCAATGCTGACATTTTTTAATGTCCACCCTTGCACCCTGTCTGTTTCTGCTTTGCCCTGGAGTGGCAGTGACGCTGCCTGTCCCCAACAAGCATAGTGTGGGTGGCAAGAGGAGATAATAATAAACTTTTAACCTTGTTCTTTTTCTTTTCCTAACACCCTGGTTTTTACTATGTGTTAGGCAGAGGTTTTCAGTGGGCTGGTTGTATCAAGCTGCGTAGTTGGTTAATTGGACTCCAGTGATGCCTGTCATTCAAATGTTTCTGTCTTAGCATCCTGTCAGCACTGGATTTCTGTTGCCCAGCCATGTAGCTCTCCTTGCTGCTTCAGAGTGCCTTATGGTCCCCTTGTGGGGGCCAATTTAAATTGCTTAAATCTGCTTGTGTAAAAACCATTGTTCAGGGCTAATCCTCTGAACATGCTCTCACCAAAAGGGTGAAGCACCTCTGGATGGTGACTCACTCCTGGAGATGGATGCCTTTCTTCTGCTGCCTGGACAACAGAAGAAGCCTAGAGAGCAAGCACCTAATTTTTGAACAGTGATGGCTGGCCAAAGTGAATTGCTGCTTGTCTGCTGTTTCACTATTTTTCTGCTCTACACTGAGTTAACAAATGCAAACGTTGTCTGTAGTCCCTGTCTGTGGTGGAGACATGGGTAGTCATCCCTGAAGCTTAAGTTTAATTTGTATTCCTAAGCAAAAATGCAGAGGAACTTCCTCTGACTCGGTCGCTGCTCCCTTGCAGAAACTCCCTCTGTCATTACTGTCATTTGTTCTGTGTGGGTCTGCTGAGAGATGAGCCAGATGCTAATTCTTTGCTAAGACATGGTGATTTGTATCTTGTAATCTATCACTCTTTTCAGCTTGCTGTGCAGGAAAAGCTGCCCTTTGGCCAAGGTTGCAACTAGTTTTTGTTTTGATTTGTGATTAAAAAAAAAAAAAAAAAAAATTATCCAGTTGCTGACATTCCAGTTTTTTGTGGACTTTGAGAGATAATAAATCAGGGCAGCTAAAGAACCAAGTGTGCACTAATCACACCCTCTCCTGAGTTTTTTATATACATCTGCAGACACCTCATTCTCCTGGAGAGTCCTCAATGCCAGCTGTCTTACTCAAGCCAGTGGAAGACACTTACACCTCCTTTATCGACTCCAAGCAACCAGCAGAAATGAGCCAAGATGACCCTGATCAGATGGAAAGATTTTCCAACAAGGCCCAACTTGGTGAAGCTGTACATCCCTCTGTTCTACTTATGGCAATACCGTTTATGCTGGACCACCGTAACAGTACGAATCGATTCGTCAGTAAAAGTTAACAGAGTGGAAAGCTGAGCAGCCTGCTGCTGTGCTATGAATCTTGTAGTCACTGTTGGGTATCCCAGGACTGCTACTGCTTCTTTGCTTGAACAGATGAAAATGTTGGTGTTTCTGTGGGATGGAGATGTGACAATAAGAAATGGCTGGATGCAATGTATCGGTTTGACCTTTGTGCAGCAGAATGGATTTTTAAATTTTTAATGGGAACAAATTAATTTGAGGGTTATTTCTCTCTCGGATATTTGTTGTCTTTTCTAGACTTTCTGCTGCTTTCATGCAGAAGCCTTTGTTTTTCTGCTCCGCATGTTAGCCAGCATTCATTACATACTGAGAGTCTTTCAGTCTCCCAGCCATAAGGGACAAAAGCATTTTTTAAACCTTATAAGGTCCCTGTGTGGGCATTCATCTTCCAAAAGATGAAAGAATTTACAACGCCCATGTGAAAGTTGTCTGATTTACGAGGTAGATTAAGTGACTTGCTGAAGGCAGTGCCTGTTTGTGCCTTGGAACAGCACTGTCTACCAGTTATCCAGACAGGAGCTACTCAATTCACACCCGATTTCCCACCTCTGGGGAAACAGGGATGAGCATTGGGAGGAGAGGGAGAAAGGCTCTTGGATTGTACTGTGTCGGGCTCATCAAATAGATGTGCAGTAGAAAGTCCTCTTGCCATGACCTGGTAAGATCCAGGGAAAAGGGCTTTCCATCTGAACCGGAGCTCTTAGAATTGCCACTATTAGATACCAGCTTTCTTTTCTGTGTCCCTCCTTATGCAGATGAAGAGAAAATGAAGAACAAAGACCTTCCCGGGAGTCTTGCGGTTGGCCTGTGCAGTGCCAGTGGGCTGTCTGACCAGAGGCCATCTCAGAAACTGTATGTCCCTCGTACCACCCTGTCTGCGGTGTTGGCAGCTGCACGCTTGGCCGCTTCCAGTGACTACTTCCAGTGGCTCCCCAGCGTGAGAAAGAAAGTGTGAGAAGAGGGGAGAAGCTGGAGCAGCTGCCAGGGAAGGCTGCCTAGGGCAGCAAAGGCCCTCTGTGTGACCGTGCTATCGTTTGCTTTGTTCAGAAACATTTAATCCCTTGAAAAACTTGGAGTCTGACATATCTCAGATGTCCCCAGTATGAGTGATATATGTTATTTTTACTTTCAGGAAAATAGTTTGGTTTTGTTGTACTGGTGTTGTATGTACTGATTTTTTGTTCTTTAATGTAATGGTTCAGGAGAACATTTAAGTGTCACATTGTATTATATATCCTTTAAGTTTAGGAGAAGGAAACTGGCTACCTATCCCTCCCTCCTTCAGAGCTCGAGCAGTTTTGACATTGTGTGGGGAGATGTTTTTGTTTAACACAGTGGATGCTGTACACACCCCTTGCTGTTAGGAGCAGTGATGGTATCCCAGCTCAGACCTCAGTCCATGGAAGTGCTGATAACTTGCAAAAAGAAATGTCCTTCTCCAAGAAGAAGACGCTCTGATTTGTTGGTGAATTAGGATGCCACACACATGAAGTGTCAGGAATCCCATGTTACAGATACCAAATGAGATCTAGAAAGAATCCAGTGAGAGAAAGCTTGAAGCTTGACGCCGGCTGTGTCTATGTAGTTCCTTGCCTGGGGCAAGAAATCCTTTTTTGTTAATGTTTGTTAATGCAGAGAAAAGCTGTGAAAATAGAAGTGCCCTCGTTATGAATGATGGCATTCAGCAGGTTTGCTGGTGCCTAGACTGTTCCTCAGGTCTTCTGGGGCTTCGAGGGCTGCTCTGTGCCCACCTGCAAACCACCAAAAAAAAGCTCGAGATAAGGTTTAACATTTGTATTGGAATGGATAAAAACCCAGCATAAGAAATTTGTTGACTGGACTAGATGATCTTTAAAGCTCTCTTCCAACCCAAACAATTCTGACTATTTTTGTTTTAATTACAGCGTTTAGGGGTGGTTTTGGGTGTAAAAGGGCTAAAAATTGTAGCGAGAGAAAGAAAATCTGGGTCTTATTAGGAAATGACCATGTGGAAGGCCAGTGAAGGAGATGGAAGCAGGGAGGTGAGGAGTGATGGCCTGAGCAGGGGCCGTACAGCCCTGAGGGGAGGTTCAGAGGCTCCCTGGCTTCTCGGGTCCCCTGTTCAGGCCGGGACCTTGCATGGCACGTGTTTGTCATCTGGCCTAGGGAGTGACTAAAATGGAGCTGAGGTTGCTCGGAGCTCTCTGGGTGATGGAGGGCTTGTCTTGGAAGTCCTCTTTTGGTTTCAGGGAGGTGAGAACTGGGGCTGGGGTGTCCCGAGGAGACCCCCCACGCCCTCCCCTGCCTGTCCCCAGGCTGTAGCGGGGGCCAGCAGACTGGAGGAGCTGTCACCCTGTCCCTGCTGCTGGTGGCTTGGCTCCCTTCAGCCTAAACCCCCCTCTTCTCTGGGGGTCTGGGAGGGTGAGGGAGATGAGGAGCTGAGGAAGACCCTGATGGGTGGGCAGCATCCCCCTGCCTGGCTGGGGCTGCCTCTGTCCCTGCTCCCTGCCCGTGACACGGCGGGTCCCACAGCTGCCTGGAGCTGTAACTGGGGCCTTTTGGGGCTGGGTCCCACCGCTGCTCGAGATGGGCTGTCCCAGGAAATTGGGGATGGGGAGATACTGTGGGGGTCTGGAAGGGGGGGGGTGTGGACACCGAGAGCCTACATGTGTGCAGAGGGGGAGCAGGCAAATTCGTGGCAGGGAGCTAGCAAGCGTTAAGACATGTCAAGGCATCCCCTGTGACTTTGGAGCTCCCTAATCTGCCGTTTTTTGGAGAGAGGGAGCATATTCTGGGCTGTGCATCGCCCCTTCTGCACGCTGTCCCTGGGTACCTGTTGGCGCAGGGTACAGGGCTTCGCCGCGATCCCATGTACCTCTTCTGATGCTTACCTGGTCAAGATAATTTTTTTTTTCTATGTGTTTTTGCATTTGACATGCTGTCTGCAAGTGCTTGATTAGTTTTCCACCCCCTCTCAATCAAGATAATAGGTGTGTGAAGAATTGAGCCTTAACCCTGAGCCTGGACCTCGGCACCCGAGGGACAGAAAACCTACCTGGAGCCTCTCCCCTGCTCCAGGGTGACCTGGGCAGATCTTCCCAGCCGTGCAGTGGCATTTCCCTTCCGGGAGCAGCTCAGGTCATGTTTCTCAGGTCGTGTTTCTCATGCCTGGCGGGTCCCTGTTTGTACATTTGTTGCTTAAGGCAGTGGAAAAAGAGAAAGATGCCTCTGGGACTGGAAAGTGATGTATTCATGTCACCGGCGGCGGCTGCGCCAGGCAGCAGGGTAAAAACCCAAGCAAGCTGTGGAGTTTGGAGGGACCCCATCCCACAGTGGTGTCTGATGGAAAGGAGGGAGATGTTCTGCCCTGTGACAACCCTGTCTTTGCAGGTGTTGGGTCCCTCTGGGAGGGGCTGAGGGTCTCCCCTGCCCTCCTCGAGGAGCATCTAAATGGGGCGCTGGGGGCACTTTCACTGGAGCACCCAGTGTGGGTGCCCCTCCTCCCGGGGTGTGCGGTCCCGCTCCTCCAAAGGAGAGCAGCTCGCCTCGAGTTTCCACCTTCCCCATAGCGCTGGGTGGTGCTGGCAGAGGTTATTGACTGGGAGTCCCCCGGGGGAGAGGGCCAAAAATGTTTAGAGTGAATTAAAAATTGAAAGGCGGCGCAGCTCTGCAGCTCTTCCTAAAAGCCGGGGTTAAGCAAAACGCCGGTGAGGTATGTGCCCTGGGGACTCGCTAATGGACTCGGGGTCTGGGGTCAGCCCTGCTGGGGGGGGGGGGGGGGGGGGGGAAGCTGGGGCAGGTGGCTCTTCCCCCCCACTGGGGTGCTGCCGTTTTGGTGATGGGGTCCCCTCAGCTGGGGCCGTGCGTGTGGGAGCAGAGCTGAATCCGGACTAACTCAAGAAGGGTCCTGGTCCCACCAGCAGCCCCCGGGTGTGGGTGGCTCTGGGAAGGGTGAGGAGTGATGCTCTGGGCAGGGATATTGGGGGCGGGGGGGGGGGGGAAGGTTATGGAAAAGTTTCTCTCAGTGCCTGCGAGCTGCCCGGCCATGGTGGTGATGGGGTGCTGTGAGTTTTAAACGGGCTGGCGGGAAGCATTTGGCTGGTGGGGAGGAGGCTGGAAAATGCCAGCTGGCTTCGGGTGAACCAGGTCCCTCCTTCCCGGCACGCAGCCGGCCTCGGCAGGGGCTGCTGGGGTTGGGGTACCCGAGCAGCTGGTCAGGGACACGGCAGGGGGGGCCGGGCTGGCCCCTGCGGTGGCTGCTGTGGCTGGTGCTGTATCACCGTGGTTGAAATTTTCCAGATTGATGCATCAACCCATCCCCACCCCTCTGCACTTCTGGGTCGACCTGTGCTTTGCAAAGTGGGGTTCAATTCAGCAAGTCAGTTGGGCTTAAAAACCAACATTGAGTGCTTCTGACCCCAAAAAACCTTTTGTCTTTTTAGCTGTTTTTTTCAGGTGGAAATTGAATCTTTTCCTGGTTTGGGAGGGATAAAAGCGCACTCAACCTTGCATCAGATTGTTTCACTTGACCCATGAGTAAATGCTTTTCTTTCCTCTGACCTGGAAGGATTTCTTTCTCTTTCCATTTGGCAAGAAAAAGGAAAAAGCCAGTTCTTGATACAGGTCACTGCAAAACAAGGTCTGGAGCTGCAGCTAGCTTTACATCCTGAGCACTGTGCCAAAACTCATCAGCTCTTCCCGCTGCTCCTGAGCACATGCACCAGTCCCTGGAGTGACTCCCTTTTTCTTGCAGGAAAAAGTCCCGCTTTTACCTGAATTTTGCTGGGAGCAAACGTCAGCTGGGTGGGAGAGCAGCCGCTGGGTTTCGGATGAGCAGAGCCAGGGACAGTGCTTGCGCCTTGCTGGCTTTCCAGAGGGTGACTTAGTGGCCACCCCTGGGATGGTTCGTGCAGGCTAACTGCCACCCCATCTCTGTAAAAGCCGGTTTGGGTGGGACTGGGGGAGACGCTGAGATTTTCCTGCTGGGTGGGGAACGTGGTCAGCGCTGCCTTTTTGTTGAACCCGGGCTGTGCTCCGGGGCGGATGAGGTTTGGTGCCGGCTGCGAGGGTCTGCACACCCTGTCTTGCAGAAATAGGGGCTGCGGGTGTCCTGCTGAGCACCCACTTGCACCCGGGGGAGCCCTCCCAACTCCTCTCCCGTCTCCATCTTGGCCCTGGCTGCTTGGGTGGTGTTTCCAGTATCGGTGGCCCCGCTCCAAGCGCAGCACCCAAAGGAGAGGGAGAAGGGTGGGGAGGGGGGGGTCCCTGTGGGTGCTCTGCATTGCTTTGAGCTCGCCTGGGGCGAGCAGCGTCTGGTGTGGGCTGCTCTGCATCCAAAATTTAGGGCGGTAGATGGACCAACCCACAGGGACCGGTTGGAATTGGGGCTGTTGCTGGCAAAACCCTTCACCGGCGCTGCCAGAGGTGGGGGGAGATTGGCTCCTTCCTATTAATGATGTGTTGGCAGGGCAAGCGAGGAGGGCTTGGGATGGGTGAGGTTCCCCCTGGCCCCTGCCGCCCTCGCCCTGCATGTGTGTGGGCTCCTCATCCCCTCCCCGCTGCCAGGAGGTTTCTTTTCTGGTTCACCTCTTCCAAGGCAGAAGCCGACTGCAAAGGGGCTGCGATCTCACTTGTGCTTTTAATCCCACTGCTGTCAAGCTCCATTAGGAGGTTTGGCATCATCTCACTACCTCTAGGGCCGGGCCGCTGCTTGCCCAGCCTGAAATGAGGACAAGCCTAGGCTACGCTGGAGCAGGCAGGGGCCAGGGATGCTTTAGGGGCCGTCGCTGCCCCTGCTGCTCTCCCCAGTGCTTCCAGCCATCAGTGGGGCTGCAAGGAGGTGTGAAACCAGCTCGTTTTGGTGGCCTGGTCACTTTGGGAGAGGAATTGGGGTGGCAGGAAGCGCCATCCCCTAGGCAGTGCAGACGTTGGAAAACCTTTTGGCACTGCAGCCTCAGCCCGCGCTCTCCTCCACGCCAGGAGCTCGGCCGCGGTTCGGTGACCCGCTCGCGACCTCCCCCAGCTCCCCTCGCAGCACATGTGCCTGTGTTCACGCTGATTGCAGCCGGGCATCCCTCCCCGTGCTGCCGCACGTGGTTCCCAGGGCCTCAGCGGGAGGTAAAGCAGCCGGAGAAGGTGATTGCGGGAAGGGGAGCTGATGGGCCAGAAACTGGGGCTGAGCATCCTTCCCAGCCTTGCACGATGGGCCGCGTGCCTCGGCAGTGGGAGGGAAAGTGCTGTTGCTCATCCCCACCCCAGCCGCTGATGCCCTGTGAGCACCTCCTGGGATTTCCAGGGTGCCAGCGCTCCAGGCACCCCTGCTGCAGGGAGGCTGGGGGCTGCCCGACGCCCAGCCCGGCTCCTCGTTGCTCTCCTGAGCTTGTTCACAGCAGTTTTGCAGCCCCGTCTGCCTACGGGCTTGCAGCTACCTGAGAAGGAGCTGACGTTTGATGAGAGCATGAAGAGGGACAGGCAAGATGGGAATATAGAGAACTGGAGCCCTAAAGGTGCCTGGGGGCTGGCTGGGTGGTCATCGGGGTAATGTCTCAATTTTCCCCGACCTCTCTGCCAGCTTTGCCCAAGGAGAGCAGAGCTGGGCTCATTTTCCCGCAGCCAGAAGCAGCCAGCACCAGGGTTGGGCAGGCTTTGCAGTGTTGATTATGGCTGGAGCGTGGCTTTGAAAGGCTTCTGTGCAGCCAGGGAGGCCGGGCAAGACTCCGCTGCAAAAAGAAAGGGAGGAGAAAACCTTCCAGGGGGCTGCCACCGCAGTGAAGGTCTTCAGCCTTGCCCTGTGCTGGGGCTTAGGGATGCTGGTGCTGGTGGGGGGTGAGGTTAGCACCTCTGTACCCCCTGCCCCTCGCTGGTGGCTCCTGAGCTCTTCTCTGACCAGCACACAAGC